TTTAGTTCGAAGGATGAATTAAATTGAATTGAGTAGTTAGAACTGTTAGTAACAGAACTAACACTACTTACTAAATTTTTCTGTTATCGATATTAATTAATATTTCATTCTCTCGCCTATACTTTATTCTTGATAATAAATAAAATATCAATAAGCAAGAATATTGTTAATGAATTATTAGAAAAATAACTCTAATATATAATATATTCTTTTTTATATTATTATGATTAAGAGAACCATTTTCAAAATGTATTAATTTTTTATTCCTCTTTGTGATGATTTATAAGTTCCATGATATTTATAGGTAGACCCGTTGTCCAATAGAATTACTACTTCCAAGTCAATCGTCTAGTTAGTTCGCCTAGCTTCACAATAGTGATTGATTTTTATCATATTATTGCTCATCATTTAGTTGTTGAATAAAAAAAGAAAAAAACAATGCAATCACCACTACGATTTCTTGCATTTGGAGATTCTTTAACAGCTGGATTTTATAATTATGGTTTATCTTATCATCCTTATGCAATTAAATTATTAAATTTATTTTCATCAGTAAATATTCCAATAATTATTGATCAAAAAGGAATACCTGGTGAATGTGTTGTTCCATCAATGAATAATAGAATTAAAAATCTTTTGAATGAAAATTCTTCTTATTATGATTGGATTATTATTTTAGGTGGAACAAATGATTTAGCTTATAAACAATCAGCTGAAAAAATATTTAATCATGGTTTAAAACTAATTTATGATATGATTCTTGAAAGAACAAATTTAAATACAAAATTATCAGTTATGACTATTATTGAAAATGGTTTTTATACACCAGATAGTATTTATGATAAACAAAGACAAATTTTAAATGATATGATTAGAAATTATGTTAAAAATTATCATGATCAAAATCGAATATGTCTTATTGATATTGATAAAACTATTAATTATCATTCTATGAAAGATATTCAACAAAGAGATATTATTTGGGATGATTATGCTCATTTAACACCAGATGGATATGATCTTATGGCTAAAATTATTTTTCAAGAAATTTTTAATAAAATAAATCAACAATCATGAAAGTTTTACTATGGGTTTTTTTTTATAAGAATGTTTTATCAAAGAAATATTATAAGAAATGGATAATTCTTGTCTTTTCTTTAAAAAATCTTACTAATAAATGATTCACAGTGATGTACATTACTTTAAAAAATTTCTCACTTCGAAAAAAAGAGGGTGTGGGTGAAGGAAAGATACACCAACACCTTTTTTTGTTGTTTCAATTTCCATTTCTCATTTTTTATGTACATTCTTTGCTTGAATGTAAATAAAGATCGATGATTGATATCGCAGTAATCTATCCATCTACGTAGCACATATTAATTATCACAAGTAAACCCATGTAAAAAAAAAAAAGTTCGATTAAAAGTAATTATATGTAAGAAAATCTATTAAAAGCATTTTTTTTTTCATGATCAAAAATCGATTAAAATCAAATTGTTCTCGACTTTTATGTGAGTATCGTTGAATCAGCTTTAAACTATTATTTAATTCCTAGTAAATTTTAATCTATTCTTATTTGCAATTCGTTTTAATCGATTATTTCTACTATCGATATAAAAAGACCATTCATTGAGAATAAACAGATAAGGAAAACGTCCATCAAAGCTGGACAAATGTGAATAGGAGAGAGTAGATCGGAAAGTTTCGGACATCTCGATGCCTAGTATGAGTACTTTTTTCTCACACAACTTTTCGCGATATTCCCTGGGAGGAGTATGGAAGGGCGGATGATGACTTTTCTTTTCCCTCCTCCACTACAAGATCATCAATTTTCATGAAAAACAGAGACTTTAATGTAGCTTTTTTGAAGAAGTGTTTTTTTATATTGAACTTTCACGAGGGAAGGCTCAACAATGGTCTCAGGTTGATTCAAATCGATTAAATTTTCAATGAATTTCTGCGGTTCCGCTAAAACACTCGATTTTTGCTGCGTAAAATCAATTATCATCAAATTTTACATGAATTTAATTGGAACGTGCTACTTTTAATCGATTTCAATCAGAGCTTTAGCCTTTTCTTTTTTTTACATGGAATGCTGAAATACTATTGTGTTTTTCTCGTTAGTTTGTTTTTGTCGCCTCCATCCTCTTTTTTTTATGTATAGTATATAAATAAAAGAAGAAGAATCTACATAGAGAAAGTGTGAACATTGACAATATATTTCTCGACGCATGTCAGTAAGAAGGTAAAAAGTCTAGACTGATACAATTTTCTGTGCTTTTGTTACTAAGATTAATATGATACAGTCAGTTCTGTAGTCACTCTACTGTTCAAATAAAATACATGGGAAATCAAAGCTTTGTGATTTAGAACTGGATAATACTAGTGAAATGACCTTCTACGATTGCTTATAAATGCACATTTTTGCTGACATTTGACTTAATGGTGTCAGCCAAACTATGTTTACGCGATGTTATAGCTAAGTTTTAACTCTAAATAAGAAACAAGTATCCTTGTACTATATGATCCTAGTTATATTCATCTGTCTCAATTAGTATGTATGTTTTGAATAAATTACAACAAGTATAATGCACAAAAACTTCAAGATACTCTTGTTTATTTATTATAAGTAATAATGGTCTTGTAGAAATTTGCAATACCCTTCGAAAATAATATAAAAATGCATTCATGCTATTCTATGTGCTCTTTCGATATGGATTCGAATGTGCAATGAAAAGTGTTGAAAAAAATCAAGGAACGAATGTCTTCGGCAAAACATTAACCGCAATCATGTTGATCTAGAGTGCATTTTCTATGGGTGGCACACATTCTTCCATCATATTAGAGAATGTTCTTTTCTCGATCCAAAAATTTACTTTACCTATACACAATCCATGCCGTATTTGTTTCATCAGATATTCTAGAATGCTTTCTCTACTTCTTTTAAAAAAAAATATTGCGTATGATAAAAAAAAGTCTTCCAGTTCATCTATCATTAGTTTATGCAACAAAAAATGTTTAGTAAAAACAGAATGCATTCTCGTTAATTTTTTTAGTCCAATGAACGTGTTGGCTTTTGTTGAGAAAAAAATCTTGAGAAGTTCAATTTTCATTGCTAAACAATTTTTATTTTGAAAAATACTTTTCCTCACTTATTTCTGACACTTTGAACTGTACGAATTGCTTTCATTATTCTGAACATTACATCATAGGAATTTTTTTCTGTTGCTTCATACACATTTCTTCAATGCGATGCGCTTTCAACATATCGAAGACTTGATTGATGATCAAATGAGAGAGAAAGTGAAACAATTTCTTAGTTCAAACGGCTGTTCTACTTGACATTCTATATCGTAGCTTTTAAACGAATAGTTGAAAAAGAAGTTTCTTCTATAGCAATAGTGATATATTTCAATCGTTTAATGTTTAGAGCAACGAAGGAAATTAAAGAAAATTTACAAAAAGAAAAACTTTGATAGCGAACAAAATCGACGTTCGTACAAAACACTAAATTAAAAAGTATTATTAAATATGTTTGCTCATTTTTCGAATATTTAGATGCCATTGAAGTATACCAAAATCGGTCACTTTGAATCCGATTGTAATGCTAGTTTGAAATGTATGTTTAGAATCTTTTTACTGACTTATGGTTGCTTAACTTTGAGAAAATAATTAAAAAAAATCAAACAGTTTACTTCCATTAAGCGTGGAGGTAGTTGTGAATCAAGAAGGGATACCAACACCCACACCCTTTGCAATAGGTTAGATATTTGTTGGTTATGTATGAAATATGTGTTGTGCTCTATTTTCTTGATATTCATATATTGATTTCTAGTTTTCATATATTTACTTAATGAATTGCTACTCAATAAAGTCAAGCAATATATTTGAATAAGTAGGCTTTTTTTGAAAGTGTTTTCAAGCTGAAAGACCAAGAGAAGTGACTTTCTTAGTGGATGATTCCTATGTATCTAGGATAGCTATTGTGCACACATAGATTCTTAGCTTTGGTGCGATGCTAGCATTAGAATTTAGCAATATCATTTCGACGTATCTAAAAATAGTTGGTGACTAAAAGAGGTCAAAATTCTGCTTGAGAGGAGGGTTGAGCCTCTCCAGGCTTAAATTTCTGGTGACACCGTCACAAAATACATTGATCTCTTGTTTTTATCCACTCTAGTTGAACACGAGAAAAACACCAGTCATCGGCAGAACTGGGAAAATGTTTGAATTCTATGGCGTAACAATATCGCTTATCACTTCTTGATCAAGGAGTAGTTGGGGCGTTCGAAATTTGGTTCAACCGTACTAGTCATTCACTATTACTGCTGGTTTTTTCTGAAGGTTTGGCACGCCACTTAGTGCCACATCCGAATGAATGAATCATCAACATCGGATGATAAACGACAAAAAAAGAGCGATAGAACAGAGAAGAAAGCACGCCATGCACAACGAACAGAATGAGTAAAAGAAGATTCGTTTTCTGCGCTGATGTATGTTTTCCTTCTGTCGCACGTCTCTCTTCTTCTCCCTTGAGTTATTTTCCTCCTCTTGTAGCTTCTACTATATGTCGCTTTTTTTTCTTTCATCCTTTTTTCTCTATCTCTATCTTTCATTTTCTTGATCTTATGCGTGCAGGGCTATTTCAGTGTGTCTTCTCTTCACTTCTACGTTAGTATTTTTTTTTTCTGATGATGGTAAAACTAATTTATTGTGTATGAACTTGTTTTTATGGGACGACAGGCATGGATTCAGTTTTTTGCATTTCTGCATATAGCATTCTATTAACATCGTCATGAGATCGCATTTTTTTTTTTGCTGTTCTATATATTTTGTAACCATCGAGAAGAAACAAAAATATCTTTTTTCATATTTCTTTCCCTTATTTTTCTCTCTCGCTACTGCTCTATTTGTCTCTACGTTCTCGTTCATTTATTCAGAAGACTAAACAACTGCACATCATTCAAATGCAATACGCACTAGGAACCGAAAAAGTAGTTATGTTAGATACTTCTTATGCTCCTACTGTCAGACCATTAACACTTGCTGAAGATCCTCAAGTACAACGACCTCGCAAGATTCTTCTGACTATGCTCGGCATTTGTCTTGTAAGTTTATATTACTTTTTTTCATTAATAATCAAAAATATACTTTTCTATGATAACACAGGGATGAAATAATCAAATACATTTATAATTGTATAATATTTCGAGGTTGTTTTCGAGTAAATATTAATAATAATTTTTTCAAATGAAATATTTTTATTCGCATGTTTGAAGAAGTGTGTAGAATAATCATTGATAGGGTAACAATAACCATCTTATTAACACTGCACAAGGCTAATGTCGGCGACAGATGTAAAGATAGGCTGGTGTAAGACGAATAACTCGACAATGGAAACAGTTAGCGACCTACGATTTCCGTCGTTCGAAAGAGGAGTTGCGGAAACGTCTTCTTGTAGGAATTCATCAAATGCCATTGAATAGACAGAGTTTCAGTAACGTTAGTCTTTCAAAAAGTAGCTCAGAATGATGTGATACCCAAGTCAGTTTTTGAATTGAATATTCTATAAGGATCATTAATAACTAACTCTATAGTATTACTTAAGCCTCATGTCGATACTGTTTGTGTTCATGCGGTGAAAAAGACATACCAAGTCTATGTCCAGCTAATCGATGAATAATTGTTTCAAGTCAAAAAATTCATGCTGATCATTTACATCTTTATGAGGCTGTACAGAAAACCGACACTCTGTCTGGTCAACGACATTGGGTCAATTCCTATAAGAAGACGTCCTCTGAACTTCTTTTGCGAATGGTAAAAATCACAGGTCGATAGCTGTTTCCATTCTCATGTTATCCGTCTTACACTAATCCATCTTTACATCTAACGCCGACATTAGATTATAAGAAAATATTAATAGTACAGTTCTCTAGTAACAGAGGCCTTCGTGTGTGACTTTTTCGTCACTTGAAATGAACCATTCCTTTGATGAGTATCATGGGATGAACTCTTAAAGTAGCGTGAGCCAATAGAAGATATATGTTTGATTTAATCTAGTCTAATCTATATTGGCCAAAGTTAGAATGAAAACCAACTCATTCTACATGAAATCTAAGACCAGAATGGATTTGACTTGCTCTACCCAAGCAGACAAGAATTTGGAAAAACGCGTTTAAACCCTACAATCTGGAACCGTGATTGTGATCCACTCACGCCCAAAAAAATAACGCCGTTTTTTGCGTGTTTCGCGTTTTTTTGCGCTTAATTTTCACTTTCTGGCCGTGAAACCAGCGAAAACCCCACTTTTTGAGCGTTAAAATGTGCTTTTACTTCTGAAGTTTTCTGGAACTTAAAAATCAAGCGTTTTAGCGCTCAAAAAGTAGGGTTTCCGCCGGTTTCACGGCCAAAAAGTGAAAATTAAGCGCAAAAAAACGCGAAACACGCAAAAAACGGCGTTATTTTTTTTGAGCGTGAGTGGATCACACTCGTGGTTCCCGATTGTAGGGTTTAAACGCGTTTTTCCAAATTCTTGTCTGCTTGGGTAGTAATGATTATACGAACTATGTGCAAAATGTGTTAGTCGTCAACTATAAATAACTGAAAAAAATATTTGCGTTCTCGAGGTTAAGTTCCAATTCAGGTAAGAAAATGTTATTAAGGGTTTTGAGAGACCAGCTTGAGATGCAAAAATTGAGCTCAACTAGGTTTAACCTATGGCTGTGTATATTCTTCTTCTTATAGAACTCTTTAGCATTAATAATATATTTAAAGTATTAGATTTTTATTTATATTAAAATAAATTTTGTAGGTTCTTTGTTTGGCCAATACAATTGTTGGAATCGTGAATCGTATAGCAAATCCTCAAGGAAGTGCAGAGCTTGGTCTACCTCTTTTGTCAATTCTTTTCTACGGCTTTGGACTATTCGTCACTTCTAAATATTCTGAAACAGGCTTGCGCGTGGTATGTAATGTCTTTTGAGTTTTTTCCAAAACACAATCTGTCATATCTACTGGTCGAACAGACATGTACGACTGGAAATACCCGATGTATCCACAAGCGATAAGAGAAGAGGAAAAGTGAACGATAAGAAGGAAGACAAAGACGAAGCAGTCTCTTCTCACATTGAACAATCTTTATATATATATATAGATATATGTTGTGGTCAAAATTAAAATTTTGATTTTGTCCAACATAATGTCAGTCAGAATTAAAATTTTAATTTTAACTGGACAAAATTAAAATTCTTTTTTTCCATGAAAAGAAATAAGTAAATATTTTGATAACAAAGCGTATGGATGTGGGTGAGGATGCTTGGTTTTGAAGAGTGTGGGTATGGGCGTAGATGGATGTAAAAGCAGCAAGGTCTTAGGGTTGTTATTGTCATATTAACTTATATTAATTTAAATCATCGATAATCAAGTTTAATATAAATTAAATTTTTTTCATAGTTTAAATTTAAAAATAAATTTAAAGTATCAGTATTTATATGTAAAATAAATTTAGCTTAAGACAATTTAAATTTATTTTTAAATTTAAATAATGCAAAAAATATTAAATTTATTTTAAATGTAAATTATGAAACAAAATATAGTTTTATTTTAAATATATATTATAATAATTTAAACTTATGTTTAAATTTAAATTATATAAAAAGATAGTCTAAATTTATTGTAAATTTAAATTACTGATAATTTAATTTATGCATTAATTAAATTGAGAGTAAATATAAATTGACATTACTACAAGGTCTCTATTGCACCCACACTTATAATATTTGTTGATATGTTTTTTGAAATATATAAGTTGTCGCTGCTAAAACTATTTGTTTTTCTTTACCATTTTCTTTGCATTAAACAAAGAATTTTAATTTTGACCACAACACATACAATGTAAAGAAAGTTTAACAAAATCAAGAAACTTTTAATCAATATCGAATTGAGAGAAGTGACAGCATGATCGTGCCTACTGTTGACCATTTTTTCTGAAAACAACAAACGCAAAACGACTTTATGTTACCTCAGCTGAACCTTGAATAGCGTTTTCTGTCCAACATCGACTATATCCTCCAAAAAAAGTGTTTGTCTCTCTTATTAACATTCTAGATCAACCACAGATGAGCATCTATGAAATGCTGTTTAAAAGTGTACTATCAAGCATTTGTATTATTTTATTTAATCTTTTCATTGTTAGTGAAACTATTTTACGTTGTATGATTGACATGAAGTATTTGTGAATTATAAAAACAGGTTCACATTGAAAACATTCAAACTGTTAACACTGCTTGATATGTCTGAAAAAACGAGTTTGAACGGTAAAGACATGTTAAACAACTAAATGTTTTTAAAGTATGATTAACGAAGTTTTGCGAACATACCGCACTGTTTTAATAGTTTAGATTCACTGTATTTGAACACCATTTTTACATGAACAAAACTATTGAGTTTTAATGTCATAGGATTATGCAAAAAAAAAATCTGGAAAAGTGACTTTTGACAGTTTTGTCGATTGTCAAGGTCTTTGATACATTCATTGATGTTCGGTATTTTCAAAAATCTGTTTAGAAAAGTTGTTCGATTAATATTATCTCAATGAAATGTTCGAATTAAAACTAATTTTTTTAATTTTCGACTTCTAGTTCGCTTGGCTGGGTGTGATCATGCTTATTGGCATGAGTATTGTGCTTGTATTTGTCTTCATGGGTGTTCTCGCAGGTTTAGCTCTTACAAGTGTTGCTTTTGTTGCTATAAATTCAATTGATTTAAACTCATTTACAAACTCAACTGTTGTCACCTCATTTTCAAACTCAACTGCTGTTACCTCAACTGCTCTAAATTCTGTTGATAAAGCCGTCATCAAGGGTGTCATGGTTGATGTCTCACACTTTCTTTTCGTTTTTCTTCTTATATGTATTAGTGTTTTCATTTTTACAGTAAGTATTCTATCTCATTTATTTTTTCTTAATAATATACTTCAATATCTTTGCAGATAATTATGATTAGCTTTGCTTTCAAATTGGCTAGACTTGTTGAAGCCAAGAAAAATGTAATCATTCAACAAATCTAAATTTTTCTTTACACAATATTTAATTCTGAATATTGAATCTTGCATTTATTTTCATGTACTTGTTCAAGTATAATCTATTTGCCTCTCAAAGCTTATAAAAAAAACATATTAATTATATTTTTCAGTCATCGAGAATAGTTTTCAATTGAATAAATGCTTGTACTCTCAAATAGTTTCACATCATAGTGATGAAACACAGATGCAAGTCTCTTAATACTTACTGATCACAAGCAGCATAGTTGAAAGTGAAATGGTATTTTATTGGTAAAACTTATCCATACTCATATCCTTATTGCAAAATTTTGGCCAATCAATTTATTCTACTAAATCTATCAGAGATATTACAGAAAAACTAAACACTGGACAAAAATTGAACGAACTTGGATTATTCATTGAACAGACTTCAAATGATTGAATAACTAAAAATCGTCATTTACATAAATTACTTTCGAGTTAAGAAAAGTTTTGGTCTCTATATATAATTCTGATTTGATCTATCAATCGTATCGACATATTAGTAGCAGTCTTTCTTTGTAAAAAGATGCAAAATATATTATGATTTAAGTTTTTTTCTTTGATATTTTTTTTTCAACGGATTAAAACGAATTTGTTCATGGTATCGTAGAATTCACCTACTAAAACGAAAATTGATTATTTCATACTGTGATTCAACTAAAGGAGCTGAATTTTTCTTTGTTGTTAGAGAATAGATTCAAATCTTTATTTTTTATGAAAAAAATTGACAGATATATATTGTCAAGCCTATGAACTTTGATTGATTTACAAAAAAATCTTTTTTTTTCTATTTTCAAACAGATTCTTATGTGGAAATGAATCTTAGAAGATTGAACGTTCTTCATTCTATGTTTTCTTCAACAATAGCGAATCATTAGAATAAAGTCAATATTTAGAGAATTCTTGATGATGTTGTATTGTGACTGAGTTATTGAGTTTTCACGAATTCTTCTTTCTTAGACTCTCTAGGGATGTTACTTTGTAATTAAGTCGTCTTTTCAAATTATGCTACGAAATTTGTCGTATTAGAACGTCATTCACACGTTGGTGGTACATGGTATGCAAATCGATATCCAGATTGTCAAGTCGATATTCCATCGAATCTGTATTCATATTCATTTGAAATTAATCCACAATGGAGTCATTATTATTGTCATCAATCGGAGATTGTTGACTATTTAGAAAAATGTACAGACAAATATGGTATCCGTTCATGTATTCATTTTGATACGGCAGTTACTCGGTGTGATTGGCTTGATGAACGGCAACTATGGCGAGTGACTACAGTACACAAAAACAGTGGCGATGAGAAATATTATTATGGCCGTCATCTTATTGGAGCCTATGGTCTATTATCGAATGCATCATATCCAACAGATATTGAAGGATTTGAAACATTTGAAGGAGAAATGTGTTATACGACTGAATGGAATGATAAAATTAATTTTAAAGAAAAACGAGTTGCAGTTGTCGGTACTGGTTCAAGTGCTATACAATGCATACCTCAGTTACATAAAAATTTTGGTATTTCACATATATACGTCTTTCAAAGAACAGCAGCTTGGGTTACTAATTTAAAGAATCGAACAGTGACTCCATTCGAAAAAGTATATTTTCACCACTGTTCCACTAATTCAAAAATTCATTCGGGCTTGCAGCTATTGGAGACGTGAATTTACTGTTTTCTCTTTCGTTTATCGATGGCCTAATCGCTTCGTTGCTCAAAAACTCGTCAGAAGCATGCTTCTTCGTCAAGTCAAAAGTCCAGAATTGCGCCAGAAATTGATTCCAACATCGGATTTCGGCTGTAAACGAATATTATTCAGTAATGATTGGTATTCGATGTTACAACAGCCTGATGTTACGCTTGTTACAAATTGTATAAGTCAATTGAAAGCATTTTCGACTGTCACTTATGATGGAAATGAGTATCCGGTTGATATTATCGTTTGGGCTACAGGTTTCAAAGTTCATTCACTTCATATTCCTATGTTCGGTATTCAAGGCCAATCGCTTGAGAAACCATTGTCACAAATCGTGCAGATATATTACTCTTTGGAGATGATCAATAGAAATATGTAGAATACAGGTTTTTTTTAATCTATATAAACGAAAGTGAAGGAGAGATGGAACCGGTCTGGTTTTTGGACGACCGCATCGTTTGATCATCGGTGCCTGTTTCATCTATGATATGCTGATAATCGACATTTTTTTCCTTCTAAAACCGTTCATTTGTCTCCTTGTTGTGATTGTTGAAGTGCGTTCAAACTTGTTCAATGAAATAGTAAAATAAATAAGCTAGTATAGTTGCTTTGTTTCAAGGCATATCGTGGCGTTACCGTACCTAACTTTCCCAATCTGTTTCTTCTTCTTGGCCCCAATACAGAACTTGGACACAATTCTGTACTAGTCATGATCGAACCACAACTGAAGTATATTATGGAAGCATTGGTCTTTATGCAAGAGAATGGCATTCGAGCGTTGGCAGTGAAACAAAACGTTAGCGACAAATTCAATGAAGAAATACAATCGAAACTAAAGAGCACTGTCTGGCAATTGGATGGTTTTCATTCATGGTATCAAGATTCGAAAGGAAATAATAACACAATATGGCCTAAGTTTTCGTGGACCTATGATCTTTGACTGAGAAAGTTCGACTACCAAAATTACTATGTCGTTTCCGCAACGTGAAACCTTCTTTTTTATTTAGTAGTGTAACATTTTGATAAATTCGTTAGATTGCAAAGATATTCTATAGAGATTCATACCGATTTTATGCTATGTTATGTAACATTATATTAAAAGCTTTTCATTGTATTTCTATTGTTTCTATTGAATGACACCAAATCATGATCTATTATATAGACAACTCGTGCCTGAACACGAAAGACTTGATTCATTACAATCTTTGTACTTCTTGCGCCATAAACATTATTCAATTAACTTAAAAGATTATACGTATACTTGATGATTCCATTTTAGCTATTATTGCGCAGAAATTTTTTGAAATAGCCATACGGAAATATGTCGGAGCTTTGGAGGAGAATCTCATAGAGAAAAATTATATATGCATATGTATTGAAACATGAGACAGTCTAGATGATATTTCGATGCGTTACAGCATATAGACAACAAAAAGTTTCTTCTGCCAAGAGCGTGCCATATATATTTACGACCAGAATATTCGTGTAGGTGTGGAAATTCTCTTCATTCATACCCACACCCAAAAGAAGCCAGGCAGTTTTTCACTGTTTATCTTGAGTCCTTGATGAAATCTTTTAACATTATGTTTAACTTCTTCATATTGAATAATAATAATACAAAATAAAGGTGGTAAATTGAATAACTGGTTACTATTTGATAGTAAGCACTTACGACGATAGCTTTGCTAATTTGTTTAGATGTTTCATGGCTATTTAGTATTTTACTTTCAACATCTTTTCTTGATATTGCTCATGAGTATAATTACCGGGTACTCTTAAAAGTAACTATTATTATTGTGTTTATCAACATTATCAAGAAACTATTCTGAAAGCAACATCATAAGCCAAGATCAAATAACAATAAAACATCTAATTGAATTTGCAAAACTTTAGACGAAATCTCTTTACTTTGAAAAGCAGCTAGTTATTCTATATGCTATATCTAATACAAAATACTGTTTGTGAAGCTGTGTCTGCCATGTCATATATGAAGGATGAAATCGAACTTCTTTAGGTTTACATAGCATACTTTTGTACCCAATATCTTCTTTTCTGTCATTAGCATAATCTCCGCTCTCTCACATTTCTATCTACTTCCACTTTTCTTTGTTGCATCTATTCTGTTGTTCAACTATTTTTATCGA